AAAGAAGTTTGGTAATAGGAGTGTGGATACACAAGAGGTATCATTCAATGACATTGATAATAGTGTTAGCACTTTTGACTCTACCATTCTCGCTCAACTGAAGGAAGGAAGATGATGGGGAAGAAGAGAGTGAGGAAGAAGTTTTTTTTTTAATTTCTTAAAAATGCCAAGTAATTGCCACATGGCAAATGAAATGGAACGGATAGTTAACAAATGGTCAACCCTGATGGCAAGGCACAATTGCAATGTTTTAAAAGTTCTAGAGTGACATTGCTTAAATTAAAAGGTAAGAGTATCCAATACTAATTTTAAAAAACTTTTAAAATATTTTTGCCCCTTAACCTTGCATTTAACTTCCATTTTATTTTTATCCTTGAAGCCCTCCTAATTTATAGAAATAGTTTCAGTGCTCATTATACAAACGTGCACTGAGAGCTCATCACTTATAGATCGTTCAAGTCTAATTTTTATGATTTAAATTTACAGTTTTTCAATTAATATTTTTAAATAAAAAATTGTTTTCCTAAAAAACTAATAATTAAGATATTATCTTTATTTTAGATTATGTATCCATTAAAATATTTTAAAAAAATAAAAGTAAAAAATTATAAATTTAGACTATCCACATTACAGAGCGGTTTAGATATAATAAGCTTTTAATATTCATCTATATGATGAATATCAAAATTGGTTCCCCTAATTTGTTGGCACCTTAAAAAGATCAGGGCGCTCATGGAGTCAAGTGTCCTAGATTTCTAGGTTTAATCCAAATTTCATTATTTTTTTAAGATCATATCACTCTTTTAATATTACACAAAATCGTCAAAGTTTCATTTTAGCCAGGTGGCTAACCAAGTATCTATATACACTTTAAAAAATAATAATTATTGTATGAACACCAGTTGTTTTATAAAACAAAAACATTAATCTTATCATCGCTATGAAGACTCTTTTTTATTTTTTTTAAATTTTATTTACATTTTCTAATAAATTCTGTAAGTTAACACTATGAAAAATAATGAAATAATAATTATTAAGTATTTATAATTTTAAAAAATATTATTTTTATCCCATTATTTTTAAAAAGAAATATGTTTTAAATGATGGTGATGATTAAATCTTCAAAAGAAAATTTGGTAGATAATTTTTGAACAATTTAATGATTTAGAGGAATATTTAACCTGAAGTGGTAACTGAGCTGGGAAGCATAATCCGTCCCGTGGACACCCCTCAAGATGTCACATTAATGGGGACTCAGACAACTAAATTAAAATGGCGACGAAAATTCTCGTACCAAACCAAACCTTAATATTACGTTTACTAAGGGGAAAATAAACGGTACTATGGTGGATGGCTATTCGGAATTTCAGGCAGTTAATGCGCGACAGGAGGAGAAATTCTAAAAAAAAAAAATTCATGCACTTAGTCTTATATATTTACTATATTATCACATCCAATCAAAATAAATAAATTTTAATATGTTAATAATCTTAATAATAAAGGTTTTTTGGAACAAATACTCTATAAAAAAAAATTCACATATCTTGATTTAATTCAAAGCAGATTAATTATATAAAATTAAGTATATTAAGTAAAACTTTTCCTTCTCAAGACCCTTGTTTTTTTTTTTTTGAACACAAGACCACAATTAAAATACTATACAAAAGAAACAAAGTTAGGTCATGTCAGAAGTCAAAATACTTTTACAATCTATGAAAGTGTTATCAAATAAAATAATATGAAAATATTCGATTGAGGCTTTGTGCGCTAAAAGATTAGTGCAATAATTTATTTTTCTATAGAAGTGTTCCAAAATAACTTCCTAGTTTTTTATGATGAGATTTTTGATGCTTCTAATGATTGCTAAGAGTGAATGGCTCTGGACGAAATTACCATTAATAAAAAATATGGCCTTTATTGAATCAGAACAAATATTAATTTTAAAAATTTTAGTATTTCAACAAATATTTAACTTTTCTAAAATCCTTATAAGCTCAATAACTGGGCTGTCAAGGCCCTTGCTTTGTGCGTGCGTTTGGTAACATTTTCTTCAACTTCTTCGCTTGTATGTATCGGGCCTATAGAAATACTCAAAAGTCAAAACACGTACTTTTGGGCCATGTGAAATACCGGAATGTAAAACCTCACAGATCTCTATCGGCCACTCTTTCTTTTTAGACCCAACGGCACCATCAGCTAAGCGATTTCTCGTTTTCTTCTTGGGATATTTAAATATTTTGTATATAAACTTGTAATTTACAAATATTTGTCTCATGTTAGGCCACACCTAAACTTCTTTTAGACGAAGCAGCAATCTTAATCAACTAGAGATCTACTGAATCAACAAGGTTCAGGTTTTTTTTTTTTGTAGGGGTAAAATTGCAGCCATAATTATTCAAGTCATTCCTGGACATTGTATTTGTACTGACTGCACACACTTTCTATTTATTTGTTTCTTTAATTTTGGCCAAGTTCTTTCGCTTCTTGAAAGGGAGACACAACTTAGCAAATGACACTTGACAATCTGCATGGCCGTTATTCGGCCACATTGGTGAGACTGACTAGAGAATAAATATACAACCATCGGCCACATTGGTGAGACTTACTAGAGAATAAATATACAACCAAGCACCATGATTGGTCAAAAGCAACAAGAAATTATTTGTATCTAGAGCTCTCAAGTTAAGCAAACTCTGCATCCTTACAACCTAGACTAGAATAATGGTAGTCCTTTCATAAGAGAATCAAAATAATTTCATACTTCATTAGATCCAAAATCAAGATTGAGAAATAGTAAACTCGAAGAATGTTTATTTAGGATGCTGATTAGATCTCAGGAGGCCTCATTGCCTCATCAATTCTTAAAAAAAAAAGGACCAATAATATAAGCCATAAAAGCGATGGTTAAATGACATCCATCAACACTCACTATTTTGATGGCGATTGATCGATCCTAACATTGACATGCCATGTGTGGTGAAAAGAAAACCATGATCAAGAGTGCATAGATAAATAAAATACAAATATAGTAATAATGAAAAAGACATTTCATGATCACTATCACTTATCCTTTATTGGTGGAGCTCATATCAAACTTAAACCCACGTGTATTCCAGATTGATCACAATTTTTTTAGGGTTGAAGTTTAATATTACTCTCAAAGTTTTTTCAAAAGTACAATTAGTATCCTAAAGTATTTAAAAACATAATGTCACATTAACATTTTTCAAAATGATACAATTTTGCATGGGCTAACAATTTGACTATGTTGACAATTTATTTTGACATTTTGACAGGTCAGTGCCTTGCTGACAAGTCATATGAGAGTCCACCTTTAAAAGTTGAATTTTTTTTTTTCAACATCTTGGTCACGTCAGTTCATTTTCTCCTTCCTTCCTTCATTGTCTTCCTTGAGAATTTCTAAAGATAAGAAGAATAACCTAGATTTGGTTGGGGTTTGAAAGACTAGGCTAAAACAAAAGAACATTTGGGTGGGGTTTGAAAAAACAACCTAAATTTCTACAAAAACCAAAACTTGAAATCAAGCACCAAAAGAACAACCTTGCTCGATTCTCATCATGCTCAAGAAGGCATTCAATTCACAAATCCAAAACCCAATCCTCATTAATTCACTCACAAAGCTAGAAACCATAAAGTAGACAACATCATCAATAACTACATAAACTTGAGTGAAACTTGAAAAAGAAACCTAGAATGATAGATCTGAAAAAGAAATTTAAAAAATAAGTCCAATTTGATGAGGAGCTAAAGAGTGATACATTTAAAACGCAAGCATGTGGAGGATCCCAAAGCAATTCCAAGTTAATCAGAGCTCTTGGAGTCTCAAGTGATTTTGAGAAACCCAGAGAATAACCCAGTCAAGTCAGGCAAATCATCCATCGAATAGCCATGTTTGAGCACCTTACCCACATCTTCTCAATTATTGAGTCCTCACTCTCCACCACTCTCTTCAATTCTCAGCCCTTCCACTCCTTCTTTGTCTTCATCCTTGAAGTTTCCCAAATCAAGCTTTCAAAATTGAACCCCAAATCAAGCTTTAAAAATCGAACCCCAACCCCAACTTGCATTGACTTTGCTAGTATTTTTCTTGTAATAATTGGAGCTTGTATTTCGGTGAATGGTTTTCAAGCAAGAGAAAGAGAAAGAAGGAAGATGAAGAATTTCCATTCACTAGTATTTTGCTTTGAACATGAGAACCAATTTCGAGTGAAAAAAAGAGAGAGAAGGTAAGAGAAAGATAGAGAAGATGAGACAATTTCAAGTAAGCAAACATTTTGATCCAGCAAAAAAAAAAAAAAAGATGAAAGCCAAGTAAGCATACCACATATGCAGAGTTGGTTAACTGATGGTCAAACATTAGGGTCTATCAATGTAGGGCAAAATTGTATCTTTTTTAAAAACATTAAGATAATATTACACCTTTAATATTTTAAAATACCAATTGCGCCTTCAAAAAAATTTCAGAAACAATTTATTCTTTAACTTTTTATATTTGGGATGGGACTAATAAATGATCACAATGTTAAAAAGGCATTCGGCAAAGATACTTTTTAACTTATGCTATACTTCATATCACATCACATATTTCATGGGTGCAAAATGTCGAGTTATCATGGTGAATGAAACTGTCAAATTATCATGATGCATGAATTATGATAAATACACGATCATCTATGAGAATATACAAGTCTATTAGTAAACGTGTACATTAAACAAATCAACAGCTCAACGCTTGATACGAAGTCAGAGAAAAGCTAATCAGAAAAGAACATCCAGAACATCTATTGCTTCCAAGAACAAAAATGACAATACATTCTATCCACACATAAAATAAGAGCCGAATAGATTAAAAATCTCATATCTTGCAACGAGAGGACCACCTTGCACATGCCAACTGTCTACCTGATATAGGATAAGATTTATGAGATCTGATGGCCGCATGAATCGGGAAATCTCAATTATCTTCAGGAAAAAGGAGGGGGAAAAAAAACTCATCGACCTTGACTGTACAAATAGAATAAATTATAAATAGAAATTATAAATATGGAGATGTTCAAATGCTGACTATCAAAAAAGAAACTACTTAAACTAATTAATGAGATTAATAAACTCGTACAAAAAGGAGAGCATCGTCAATAACATATGATAAGTTTCAAGGTGAGACCGGTAAACCACAAACGACAGCATAGTATATCCACGTATGAAAGTAGAGAACTGTGCAGTCTAAAAATGGCCTCCCACATCTTCTCCTGAGAGCACCAACATTCAAAATTCCAAATGCCAAAGGCCACCCAGCACAGTCCCCTCCACAAAAAGAACACGGTGCTGGTAGCATGTAGCCATAGCGGAGAATTTAATAACAAAGGCGGTGAGCAGCGGCATGGAGGATTCTGAAGACAGCGGGAAAGGTAAGAATTCACTGTAATAGACTAATAGTCGTTCAATTAAGCCTTCCACTCAGGTCCCCAAAAAGAAAAAAAATTAAGCCTTCCATTACGTCACATTCACAAGTTGTACGACCATCAAAAGAGGAGAACACCAACAATTAGTCAGCAAAAGCTGTGATTAATAAAGTGATTAACAATTACCAAATCCTGTAAAACAAGATTCAGCATCATGCCAACAGCTAGAAACGGCTGCCGAGAAAAAATAGTCCTGGCCCATCTTCTTCTGCACCGAGCTTCACCAATAAAATGCAAATACGACAATCATCGGAACTTGATACCTACTAAATATACTCATAATACAGCAAGGGAAGGTACCTAACATTCTCATTTCTCAATATTGGGACATTCCCTCGCAAAATGCCCTTCCTCACCGCAATGAAAGCACACCCTGCCTCCGCCGCCGCCACTAGTACCACCACCGCGTCTGCGAGTGTCACCACCACCAGCACCCTGATAACAGTCTCTCGCCAAATGACCCACGCGGCCACAATTGTAACACTCGAGGCCCTCGCTGTAATTGCCACCAGCGTAGCCTCCACCCCTCCGCCCCATCCCGCCACAGCGACCATACCGATAAGGACGGCTGCGAGTATTCACGCCAATATAGCGCCCGCCATATCCATCCCCTCTGCCTCTGCCGCCATAAAACCCTCTTCCACCGCCACCAGGACGACGGGATCTCAGGAGAGCAATGACGTCAACAGCTTTGGTTCGTCCATCTTGGGCGTAGTCGAGGAGAAACTCGACGGGCTGACCCTCGGCCAGGGTGCGATAACCATGGGATCGGATGGAAGTGTGATGGACAAAGAGATCATCGCCGCCGTCATCAGGGGCGATGAATCCGAAACCCTTGTAGGCATTGAACCACCTGACGGTACCGGTGGATCTAGGGGTGCGAGACATGGGGGAGCGACAGGAGAGAAGGTTCGAGAAGAATGTAGAAGGTTCGACGGATGATAGGAAGGGGGAGAGAAGCGAGGGAGAAGGAAGGGGGGATTCGTCCACGAGGAAGGAGAGGTGCTGATGTGTAAGCTTAGAAGGGAAGGAAGGGGTGGGGCCATGAGTAAGTACAGTTGGGGCATTATCCGTTTTGGGGCAATGGAGTCGCCATCCACTCCCCCACCCTAATCCTTTATCCTTCTTCAAACCTCTTTTCCAGAAGAAAGGAAAGGAGAAACTTATTGAACGAGTTTTGAACTTATTCTGTGATCTCCCAAGTATTTTCAATTGATTCTTTATGTAACATGAGGAGGCTATTAGGGACGCTGGCGTTCGTTTTTCCCATCAATTTCCTCACACTATGTCCGAGAGGGAAAATGGCGAGAGGCGGTTTATCTTTTGGTTGTAACCTCCTTTTGATTTGAATAGAAGGTTCAGTTTTCTTTTTTTGTCGGCAGAGATATCAAAGATTAAACCTGTCTTTAGAACAACTTGTTTTCGAACAGTCGTGGATACCTCGACATCTTTTACTGAAATGATATCCACACTGGTCTTAATCCCTAGTACAATGAGAGATATGCTAGAACTTGTTATTTAAAAAAAGAAAAAAAAAAGACCAAAGGAAATATGCTAGAACGGTTAAATACAGCTATTTTAAACACGGAAAATATAAAGGAGTTTAAGCAGTCAATCACTGGTAGAGTTGTGCTCAGTGGCGGTTGATGATCGATGCTGCCGATTGAGAATTGAGAGGGGCCCTCTCCAATATTTGTAAACGAATAAATTGGGCTTCTTCCGTGATCTTCACTCCTCTCAATTTTAGTAACTATTTTCTTTTTCTTTTTACTTTGGTCACTTTTGGGGCGACATGTGTGGAATATGTAGTTAGTGGTATTGACTTGGCATTCTTTCTGGAATAATTATAATTTTTATCAAATTAATATTCAAGGCCTTTTTACTCGAGTTGGATTTGTGCTTCAAAAATTACAATTTCGATAGAAACACGTTAAAAAAATTCTTTTAAGTAGTTGTCCAATTTTTGTTATATCAGTCAATTTTAATTCAACGATATTAATAATTTAAAAAAACCCATTCAGGTGCAGTAAGAAGGAAAAGATTTATTTAGGCGCGTATGCAGAATTTTTAGTTTGGAAAAAGAAGTGGACCCTCGTGAAGCATGGAGAATTTGATAAAGCATGATAATTTAAATAGGTCAAATTTATTTAAATTAAATTTAATTTAAATCGAATTTAAAATATCTTATATTTTAAAAAAATTTGATATAATCAAATTTAATCTTAATATTTTTTTACTAAATTCGAGCTTACCTATTAGGTTTTGTCAAAATTACCAAGTATATATGCACATAAAACTAATGATTCTAATGATTGGGTTCATTTGAATTAGATTTAAAATATTATATCCATTTAAAAAATTCTATAAAATCAAACCTGATTTTAATTTTTTTTGTTTTCTTAAATGTTTCGATTCGGTTCGAATTACTAACTTTAGAATCAGACCTAGGATTAAAGAGGTTGTTTCTTAATTAAAATAAGAATCCAGCCAGGTGGCAGTAGGGCCCAGCATGTGATCCATTACTTAGGATGGCATGACCGCGTAACTGTGAAGTCGTCGATGCACGGTGCTCTGTGTTGCATCTACAAGCTTCTTCCTATCATTCTCTAGCTGCTTTTATACTCATTCTCGTTATACAAGGTAGTTTTTTCAATAAAAAAGTGAAAATATGATTTTTATTATAAGATATTTAATGAGATATTAATTAAATTTTTTATATTATTTTTATTTGAAGTCATTAACTATAAAATAAAATGAAATGCAAATATGAAATTTTTTAATCTAAATATGAGTAAAATTAGACATTTATTATATTTTTAGATAAAATAAATAACTTAACCATATTTTTTTAATTCTTAAGGTAATTATAAATGCCTTACAATAAAGATCAGTAGTAAAGGCCGTATTTCTAGGTATTTTTTTGTTAATTTATTTTGGTGAGACTTTTAGTAAAGGGCTACTTAAAAATGTTCATTCCAAAAGGCTAAATTATGCTTTAGTGAATACCAGTAAACAGTAGTCGAACTGTTCCCTTCTTAACTGGCTTGATAATTATTAAAGTACATACTTAATAGGTATAAAGCTAAAAGCTTGTTAACTTTTAAAAAAAAAGTTAATAACTTTTAAAATTTTTGTTAAGTAAAATATATTATAAATGACTTATAAATAAGGTGAGATGATTTTTTTTAAATATTATTGTTTGCTTTAACACGATCTCTCCAATATAGGTACCCAATGATATGATATCCATATGTAGCCTTCAATCAAGGTTGTCATATACTTTCTTCATCTCAAATTATAAAATACTTTTAGATAAAATTTTAAATATTAATAAATCTCATTAAATACACTTAATAATTTTATATTTTTAAAATAAAAATATAAATTTTAAAAATATTCATTATTTAATATACTAAAAAGAAAATGGACAGAAATTAATGATAGAGAGATAAAGGATAATATTGGAATTGATACATTTAATAAAACCTTAATCTACTCGAAATGTCTTATATTTTAAAATGAAAAAACTTCTTAAAAAAGTGTTTTATAATTTTACACAGTGGGAGTATTATATTATTCCTCCTTGCATTTCTCTTTTTTTTTTCCCTGAGGGGGGGTGCTTGCACAGGTTGTTTCACTGCAATTGCTTTGGATGATTTATTGATTGGACATAAAATGCGATTAGAATGCTTGATTTTTTATTAAAAAGCATCACCCTTATCTCTGTTTCCCATCCATTGTAAGTGACAGCCTGGTAGATATAAAACAAGTGTATTTTTAATGTCTGTCTTTTGCATCTTATACATTTTTTTTCCTTTGATTTTATTTCCTACGATCAGCGACTGTCACACAACAATGTTATTGTATGTATTATTCATAATAATATGCTTGGAAGAAATACTAGATTTCACAGAGGGAATGAAGGAATAATTCATAAAGGATAATTAATGCCGATAAATTACCATACACCTTCGATCTGTTTCGGTGATCCGGTGTCCTGGCATGAGACCTGTGATATGATGGTGGTGTTTTTCTTCGCTATTTTCAAGACTTTCTGTTTATTCAGTAATGCTTCAGTTTATGAGTTCTTTTTTTCGCAATCATATTGCAGAATGCCACTGGAAACCCCATACCCTGTGCATGTGTTGCAATGATCTCAAAGCTTCCTTTCACTATTCGCTCTCTGTGGATCAAAGTAGAAGTCATGCAAAGAAGAAAAAGAAAAAGAGACGGTTCATGGTGACATGTGAATCTTTAAATTGCTTTCATTTCAAAGCTGGCCCTGATATTTGATAAAATAGTTGTCATGTCTAACAGTTTAACATTTCTTTTTAGTTTGAAAACCCCAGCTTACTTTTGTATTTCCTTTGCTTGGACTATGGTGGTTCTCTTAAATACGTCTAGAGAGCAGTATTCATTCAGTGTCAAAATCTCTGATCCAGTATATCAAATTCATCACTTTTTTGTTGTTTCCATATAGATAATGCATGTTTTAAAGAATTAGAAGCATGAAAATACAGCTTATGTGTAAGTTACAATTTTAAATTCAACTTATTAACCCATTTTTATATATGTGCTGTTGAATTCTCTTTGGTGTTGGGAGCGGCTTCTTTTTGTCAGACATCTTGAATTGCATTCCACTTCTTTTTGGTGTTTTATATACCTTAACGAGTATATTCCTCGTGGATTCATACTTCCATTTAAAAGGGAGAAAGGGGAGATTTTTCTTGATATTCTTTAATGCCTTTGCAGTTGATTCAAGAGGAAATTAATCCTCAGGTTTCAGGGGATTCATGGAGAGAATGAATTCATTGGCTCCATTAAGTCGTATAAACAATCACATGGATGATGATGACGATGATGAGAGCGAGACTGTTTCGAAGGCAGGAGACATTGGGGATCGAGCTCTTCAATTGGAGATCAAAAATTGCAGGCATGTCCTGTGGCATTGAGTTCTATCTCCATTGTGAAGCCATCAGCACAACTAGTGACCCCTCGTTATAGTAATGGAAAAGGGTGTCCTGAAAACATAAAAGTGAGCCCAATTTACCAATTATTAAGTCGAGCTTCTTGTTTGTATTTTCATAGATTATTCGGAGTTTGTTGTCTCTACGTGCAGGAACAGGATCAGAGGTTGCCGAAGATACTGGACTATGTTTCATGCATGATTCATTTAGCTGCTTTTGGAATTCTTGGGGTAATTTGCTAACCTCTAATTTGATGGTGTTGGTGTTGGCTCTTGTGCGCTTCTGCTGTAATTAATGTTTTCTTCTGTTTTGATTGAGAGTCTATGGCAAACTTCATCTGCGATGAGGATTTTGGAATTTTCGCTTCATAGACCATCATTTTCCATCTTGATCCTCTTTTTTACTGTCAGTTTCATTCTGGCATATAAAATTTAGGAAGATATTAATAAGCAATTCAAAAAAATAAAAAATAAATGCAGGTTCTCACAAGATACTTACTGCAAAAATTGTTTGGCCCTGATGGAGCAGGTGTGACAAGTGACCGTACTGTTCTTTACCTGGATCTGCCTTCCAATATGGTCTCTCCCTAACATCCCCTTTCCTCTATCTTCCCGTCATGTCCTGATATTCGCAAGCTTTGTATGCGACTGAATTGCTATGTTCACAAAAGAGAAATAGGAAAAAAAGCTAAAAACTTGCCCAGGTTTTCGTTTCCCGAATTTTATGCTGATACAAACTCAATATTTCATTCAGGTTGGTTCTTTTTTTATGGGATGGTTTGGCATAGTATTCAAAGGGGACATATTTCGTGTGTCAGAGCATCTTGCCGTTGCAATAACAACAGGTTACTTAGGGAGCCTCACAACATTTAGTGGTTGGAACCAGAAGATGCTCGAACTTAGTGCTGCTGGACATTGGCTCTTCTCTGTGCTTGGTTTTGTAATAGGTAATGACTAATAAGATGCATTAAATTTAAATCAGTGTATTTTAGCAGTATAACCATCTTATCCTCAGTTACCCAAGCATGGCTAAGTTTATAGCTGAAATAATAAAAACGGTGGATTTTGCAGGCTTGTTTCTTGTCGGTTTTTCTATCATATTTGGAATTGAGACAGCCAAGGGTTTCAGGTGGTCTATCAGCAGACTAAAAATGAGATCGGGAACTGGTTCTTGTAACTCTGAGTCTGAGATAAGCAAAAAGAGGGGCAGTTGCAAGGGACAATTGGCAGTGATGGCGGTGTTCTTAATAATGTTAGGTTTTTCATGGGGTGTTAGTGGTACACTGATAAGGTCTGAGTTCAAGAATGAACAGTGAATGGCTGAATTATGGCTTGTTTGCCTGGTTGGTCCTCTAGGCGTGTGGATTAGACGGTTCTTGGCTCGACTCAACGAGAGGGGCATAGGAAGGGCAAGGATGCTGAAATGGATTCCATTTGGGACTCTGATTGCCAATGTTTCTGCAGCTTGCGTAATGTCTGCACTTGCTACAGGAAAGAAATCAGTTAGTTCCATCTTCTTGTCTTACTACGTGTAATTTGAATTTCCTATCATGGAGAATATACCATCTTAACTGTTTGGAGTCATATTCCTACGTTAGTCTCTTTCTGACGTGATGGAGCTTGTATTGTGATGCAGTGAAAGCCTGGAAATGTGATACTATTGTAGCAGGCATTCAGTTTGGGCTGTTGGGTTGTCTAAGCACTGTGCCTGCCTTCGCTTCTGAGTTCAACGCTATGAGAGAAAGCATGCATCCTTGGAGGGCATATGCCGATGCTATGATCACTATATGTGTCTCCCTCTGTTTTGGGATCATAATATTCTGCATCCCTGTATGGCAAATGTGATTGGCGCAAAAAGCGACTTGTTCCCCTTCTTTTTTTGGGCTTAAGCTTCTAAGGGTAAAATATCTTCATTTGTACAATACCTACTATGTTGACAGACTAGCAACGATGCACTGTGACAACGCTTTGTTGGAATTTTAGGGGGAGAACTACCAAATTATTGGTGTAGGCTTGGACAAGGACGAAGAGACTTAAATGAGAGAAACTTTTTGTTATTGCTTCAAACAATAATTTACATACACTCGCTTTGACTTTTCAACCCTACACTCACTCTCATTATTTACCTCACTTTTCTTCTACACACTCTTACTACACGCACACGCACACGCACACTTCACACACTCACTTTTCTGTCACCAAGCATGCGCAACACTGAATGACTCGCTTTTTTACTTCGGCTTCTTCTTCTCTTCACACACACAAATGACGAACGCTTACTTATTTAGAGATGAGGAATGACGGTGAAATGGCATCCAGATTTTGTTTCACCGCCTTATATTATTAAAATATTAGTCTTCTGGATTTTTCCTTCTTCACCGCCTTTAATATGCTTGGGGAGAAAGACAAGATTTGTCCAAAGAATAGAAGGATGTAGATCGGGAGAAGGAAAATTCTGGGGAGGGAGAAAGAGTTGGTGAATTTTTTTTTTTTTTGGTAGAAAGGAGGGCAGAGCCCAATGCATTAATAACTAAAACGGAGAGGGGTGATTCAAATCCCATACAGTCATTTTGAATCAAGGCTCTAATATAAGTCGGGGCACAATCTAAGAAGGAAGAAACAGAGAAAGCCTCTTTAGCTAATCTATCAGCAACAGCATTTTAAACACGTGGAATATGCTGGATTTGGATATCCCAGTAATAGTTAAGTAACTTCACGATCTCCAAAATCATAAGGCTATAACCAGAATGTGAATCAGGTTGTGAACGAAGAGCATCTACAATAATTGTCGAGTCGGATTCCAGGATGATTTTCTTCAGGCCCATGTCACAAGTAAGTTGAAGACCCTTATAGCACGCCCAAGCTTCGGCTTCTAGTGGATTGCAGTGGCCTAGATGGGATGTGAAACCAGCTATCCATGCTCCAGTGTGATCACGAAGGACCCCACCACATCCCGCATTCAAATCAGTTTGGGAGACCGCAGCGTCGACATTTAATTTAACCCAACCAACAGGTGGAGATTGCCAAGATGAACATGACAAGGAATCCGAGTCAATATCGTCCTGGATAGTGAAGAGTTTCCATGTAGAAGAAAGGATGGAAAAAGTGTTATTTGGCTTCTGGAAATTGGAATCGAAAAAGTGAGTGTTTCTCCATTTCCATAAGTGCCAAATAAAGACACCCCAGAAAAGGCTCCATTCATTACAAACGAGATTCCCCAACTTGTTCTTGAGGTTGAGGTCAAACCATTCCTTCAAAGAGCAGGAAATGGATAATACGCTTATGGGGTAATAATGCACATAGAAAGTGATGGTAGGTGAAGATCCCATGCATCTCTGATCACCTTCATCACGGGTTTGTTATTCGAAGCCTCGCAGGAAAGTGTATACAAGTTTTATCTTTGAGCCATAGTGAAAATATGTCACTAGATTCTCGTTTTTCAATTCGTTTGTCTGACTGTATGGTGATTATTGTAACTGACACTTCATTAGTAAACAGGAATATCTCCTTAAATAATAGCTGCAAAATTTCATGTAATCTTATGCTTAATAGATACAAACAACATAAGACTAATACTTTTGTCTATTGCTCATCGCAAAGGTAGCGGTCATCGTATCAGAATAGGATTTTGACAAAGCAAATGGACTTTGGACCTGAATCTGCATGAAGAAGGGTCGCGCTACATGTACGGATGCGACTGAACAGGAGGGATTGGGTTCCTATAATAGGAGGCAGGGTTCGGATATGTGTGATGTGGACGCCCTGATGATAGTATAGGATCATCCTTCTCTCATTTGGGATCTTCACATCCAGATGAGAAAGACGCCATGCATGATGCATCATTTAGTTCCAGATCGCCCAATCTTGTTCCCTTTTTCCTGCTCCGTGATCATTAATCTACCCGCTTGAATCCTCCTTCCGATGTGGCCTAAGAACAATTTTCTAGACGGTAACCCTGGGAACTCAATTTGCTGACGATCAAAATTATAAATAGTTCTTCGTAAAATTTTTAGAGTATAAGGACTCGTCTGAGTTTGGCCCAAAAAGAGGACTTACATGAAGATAGCTATAACATAAAGGTACTGATTGATTAATCTTTCCCCACTTTTTTGTCTGTTCTTTGGCAATTTTTTTTTTTTTTACAAAAAAAGAGGACATGCTCTCAAAAGAGTCAAGATTGGACAGTACCATCGCTGGCTCCTGTAATAAAGGCCGTCATCAATCCCCTCTCATAAAAATGTTGGTCACTATATTATTCGGATCGATCATTTAATTACTAATAATCAACTTGCTAATCTGCCGGACATAAATTACTGAAAAGTGAAAAGACGTCAACAATTCTATTTCCTAGTGAACTTAGGCGACGGGGTGAATTTGAAAAGCCAATCAAGTAAAGAGCAAGGGTCTCCTGACAACCCAACTCCCAATTAACCAAATCTTTGAGAAAACACAACCCAACAAAACATGACCAAAAACATTAACAAGAACGCGTATTTTTCAGTCTTATTCGCTCGGATGCAATTATAAAGTATACGCTTTGCTGGTTAAATTTCAGGATATGCACAAACTGTTTGTGTTTTTGGTAGAAAATGCATACATAAACTCCACAGTGGCACGTCATTGGCATGTTGAAAGAGTTCAACTCCTGATACTTATAGAGGCAATTTAGGCAAGAGAACTGTGAAGTCCATTTGAACAACCTATCTTGCTCAACCACAGCAAGAGCCACAGGCGGGCAGAGAACCTGAAATTTCAATTCGGAGAAGCCCAAATAAATTCATTAGCACAGACTCATAATAATAGTTGAGCTGCAGAAGATACCCCCCAAATGTCCAGGAAAGAAAAGAAATGAAGAAAATATGTACTTACTATGGTCAGCCCCACTAACACTGTCTAGTCCACGAACATTGTCAAGACCACGACGAGGAGGACCCCGTGGACCACCACCATATGGTCCCCCAGGACCTCCAGGGCCACCACCATCCCATTTTTTACCAGAAGCGGAACCTTTTCTGTAGGCATCCGACTTTTCCATCTAATGATAGATGGCAATATAAGCTCGCATCAATTATAGGCAATATAGATTTCTCAGAAATTCTTTAAAAAAAAAAAGAAAAAGTAAACAGAAATATAAATAGTACCGAAAACATTGTTGCAAAAAAGACTCCAATGAAGTTAACAATAGCCCAGAAAAAATCTGTGATTGTTTTCAGACGCCATATTGATCTCTTTGATTTAACAACACCTGCACAAAATTGTATCGGGTTCTCTGTAAGGTCCGTCATGGCTCTCATAACAGAAAATGCCTACAGTTAATTTCTTTCAAATAATTGGATTCATCTTGCACGCTAAAAATTTTTTAAGATCAAATTTGAGCAATATACTCCAAAAATTAAGCCACACCAGCATTGCTCAATTCCAATCAAGCAAAAGAGAAGTAACAAACATATAAAAAGTAAGATGATAATGTAGAATGCAATTTCAAAATCTTCTTTAGAAGTAACCAGACAATGCATCCCAAAAAGGGGAGGGTATAGAAGCATATAAGTAAAAGAGAAGACATGCAAAGTTATCACTAACAATTGGATCAGCAACATTCACCAGAAAACAGAGAGGATTGCAGAGGGAAAAGAAGCAGCATCAAGAATTAAATGGTGCACTGGTGTAAAATTCTATGTTGACAACAAGTCTTATCTCACTAGGTGGAGTCAGCTATATCAATTATACAACACAATTGTGTTCTATTATCAAACACGCTTTTAGGAATATTGTTAACTAAAAATCTTATTCGACAATTTCTATAATTATTCTCTTTGATCTTCCTTTACTTCTCTAGAAAACTCTATGCTAAGAAGGTGTCAAATTTTTCATTCACAAAATAGTACAGCTACTCATAGGCTTTGATTTTGAAGATCATAATTTATATATACTGGTTATCAATCTGCTACGCTCCATTGTTTGCATGCATGCACGAAAGTATATGTAGAGGTAACTTATTTGCCGATTCAGAAATCACATCAAGTCATCAAACAAGAAAGCCATAACTTTAGTAGAACTATAAGCAACTTAGAGTTATTGGATTGCAAATGCAAGACAGTTAGAGGTGAGGAATATTTATCAGAATTTACATAGCATAAATCCCGTCGCAGATTGCAGTTAAATACATTAAATCAAGGGTGGACAATGGGCACCGCATGGAACAAAATCCAAGCACAGTAGTGTTTCATAATGCTCATTGTGATAATTATGAGATTTTTTTTTTTTTGGCCGGGGGGTGTTTATATATGAAAGACCAAAACGTATGCCGTATATCGTTTTCCAAGTACCCGCTCAACGATCGGAATGATATCAGCAAAATAATAAAAAATAAAATCTTTATTATACGGCAATTACAATTAGTCGCATCAGAATACCCTGATATCAGGAGAAAACTTAAGTTATAAACCGACCCAGAGGAATTAAAGCTGCCTTCTTCATATTGGTTAATTACCCAAAAAAGCATTAGTTCTTTCTAAACGTACTCCCCAATCCTAAAATATCAACTAAATTGCAATTGACAGAAAGAAAAGGGTATATTACACCGGACATTGAGATCAAGGCTCCAAAGATTGCAATAAAGGAAATAAAACTTAATAAACAAATTAACCTATACGCACCTACTGCCATGAAAAGAACAAAATTGGGAGGAGAAAAAGAGGAAGATACCTCGCTCGACGTAAGCCATGGTGGGTTCTCCAGAGCAGGGCTTCTGCGATTGATAAAGAGATTGGAAATAATGCTGGCTATTGACTCTTATTCTCAGAGAGAGAGAGAGAGAGCACGAGAAATTCGACGTCAAGCGAAGAGGGTTCCCGATTCTAATTGGCTGTCGCTACCTAAATTCAACAAGACGTACAGGTGTCCCTATTTTATTGGATGATGAATGAATCTATCGCGGTCGAGGAAACGAGAAACGTCCATTCACTTTTGGGCCAACACCCAATGGGCCAACAGTGCTGAGCCTTTACCAACGCAGTGTTTAAACAAAATTAATAAATTAAACCCATATATTTAATTTTTATTTGATATTTATTGTGAAACTAATTATGATAATTAATAATTTTAAAATTAAATTATTTTAAAATTAATTTCTTATTTTTGTGCTGAATTTTTATTTTTTTAAAAAAACTCAAATATAATAATTAATTCTTCATGGTTTGCAATCAAGTCTCTTTTTTTTCCAATAAAAAATTCTAATGACTGAGATACAAATTTGAGGTATAAAAATTTTAACAGTAAATTTCAAAACTTTAATCATAATGATAAAATTTTGATCATTAGAAAATCATAATGCAGACATTGGTGGTATAAAAACGGTATTTTATCTTGGACTTTTTTAAAATTTAGAATGTTTTATCACATAAATTGTAAATTTTAAAACAAATGAACAGTGACAAACAGGAAAGAAATTGGGTAATAAAAACAAGGGCTTGTGAAGTTTATGACATGAATTGTAATTTAAGAATTAATGATGATACCGTTTATTATTAGCGTAACTGTATTAATGTTTGGAGGGAAGTGGCCAATAGTATTGAGCTTGTTCATTAAGCTAAGTAGTGAGAAAAGTGACCTCTCACGGAAACACATTGTTCAAGTAATTAGAACCAGGGTAAAGTAGCGGCATCACAGATTGAATGCACTAGAATGATATGAATCAAAACAACCTCTCCTTGTGGCAAGATATAAGAACCATGGTAGAGGGTCCTGTACAATTACAATGATGTACTATACATGCAGACATTATCTAGGCCCTGAGATATCATGTGAAGAAACGTAAGAAAACGCAGTTTGAGAACCGCTAGTGGTAGCTGAATGTTTCTGTGCTTGTTGATACGCGGGTTTTTCCTCAGCTAGCATGGAAGCCTCTGTAAAAGTACGCCCATAAAAGCGCAAGAAATTCAAAGATTCAATCCTTGGCTGGGCCATTGGAGTCCCGCCTTCCAGCATGCCAACAACAGCAGCCATGTTTGGCCTCAGCGCCGGTTCTTCGTGAACACAGCACAAGGCTATACGCACTAGTTTCTCCACCTCGTCATTTGAAACCCGCCCTTCCAGCCTTGGGTCAGCCAACTCAAGGTACCTGCCTTGCTCATGCATCTCCAACGCAAATAGTGGAAAATAAACCAGTCCTGTCACCGATGACGTCCCTGAACGGCAGCTGCTGCTCTCGTCCTTGCTTGGGCTTTGTGACCCCACAGAACAATTTTTTCTTCCACTCACTAGTTCAAGCAATACCATTCCAAAACTATAAACATCAGTTTTCTCTGTGATTGCCGAGTTCGTAAGCCACTCCGGAGCTAGATAGCCTCTTGTGCCTCTCATGGTTGTGAATAAACCAGACTGTTCGGGGCTGAGGAGTTTTGAGAGTCCAAAATCCGATATCTTTGCCTGGAAGTGATCGTGCAAAAGAATGTTCTCAGGTTTGATATCACAGTGAATGATCTTTTGCTCACACCCGCCGTGTAGATAGGCCAGCCCTCGCGCTGTTCCCAGTGCTATATCAACCCTCTCCTGCCATTCCAAGACTGGTCCGCCACCAAAGAGCGTGCGATCCAGGGAGCCACGATTCATGTACTCATAAATCAACAGACGTTGTCTTCCTTCAGCACAAAAGCCTTTCAGTTTCACCAAATTAACGTGATGAATATTTCCAATAATTGCAATCTCAGTGCAGAAATCCTTTTTCCCCTGATTTCCCAAATTTACTATTTTCTTTACCGCCACAACGGTCTTATCAGGTAGTTGTCCCTTGAACACCGCACCAAACCCACCTGAACCGATCAGAGTCTTAAAACCATCAGTAGCCTCCACAAGTTCTTCATAATCAAACCTTTTAGGTAAGCCTGGAATATGGAATGCCTCCAGGTCCTCTGAAGAATGCGATTTGAACTTGCCTAATTTTATCTCTTCTCCCTTGGAGATTCTATATCTTCTGAGCCAGAGGAAACCGAGAGCCAAAGCAATAATGAATCCAGTAAGAGGTATTAGCACCAGAACAGCCACAGGAAGCCCCTCTTCTTCAGAAGTAGGATCGTCAATATCAGTAGCAGATTCAACAACAACTTTTATGTAGCCCGACGAGTTACTTGTACCTCCACTACCTGACAAAATAGACCCCAGCTCATTTTCAAGCATAGAGCAGGATCCAGTCGTATTTTCATAGAAAAATCCCAAGCACGAACAATTCCAAGAACACAGATCTTGGCAAATAGTTGAGTTCTCTACATATGTCACGGTGTTAGAGTAGGTATTGCTAAAGTACTCCATACCATTCCCGAGTTTCAAATATGAAACAGCTGAAGAATTTGATGTACTATCATAACCAGATGATTTGCACGCAAATGGCAAGGAATAAGAAGCATTGCTAGGCACACAACCACGAACATTACTTGAGCCTGCATTGAAGTTTGAGGGACAAGAACAAGTAGGTGCCGAGGACGCAGTGCCATGAGTGCATAATCCCAATCTGCCACAAATAAAGGGAGTGTCACAACCATCATCCGGCCCCACAAATTCCTGGACCCAGTTAGTTCCGGAAAAGCTTTGGACGGTAAACTGGCCATTAACGGCCAACTTGGCAATTCGGAAATCAGCCATCGGCAAGACCACCCTAAACACAGTCACTGTTCCATTACTTCCAAAAAGATCGAGAGCTGTTCTGTTTATAGCCATGTATTCGACCATATAATTTGAATCCTTGAAGGCATTTTTGGCCATCGACAACCTCCAGTATGTCTGGCCATGCCACTGAAGTATTGCGTCAGACGGAGTGATACTTAAGTTGTAATCCCCAGTTGACAAGTCAGACCCTGATATCGCACTTGACAGCCATGTTCGAACAGGTAAGCGCTGTCCAATAACAATTGTGTCTGTTGGATGCTGGAAGCTTTCCCAGAGAGAACCATTGGAATGATCGAGTAAGACGAGATTGCCCGTTTCAGTTAGTTGTAATGCTGATACTGCTGATTTCAATGGTGGGGTTGACCATTTGAGGCTTCCATCGTGATCAAAAATAGTGATCCCTTTCGTAGTTAGGTTCATCGTATCAGAATTTGAGATGGGAGCTTCACGATTAGCCGACCAGATGATGGTGTGGGATGCCACATGGAAGACACAAAAGTAGAATCTGGATTGTTGATCGCCAGGATTGAATATAGCAGCCTCGAATGTTCCATTGCGGGATGTCAAGAAGGTGCCAGAGCGGTCAATGAACTGAAGATATGAAGCAGTGAAATTTGGATTGATAGATTCCGAGAACGTGTAGGCAGAGATGGAAGAAAACAAGAGAGAAGTGAGAGAGAAGTAAAAGACAGATTCCATCACGAAGTTTGAGGAAATGCAGAACAAAGAATAGGAAGAAATGGGTTCCATCAGAGGACAACGGGGAGAGAATGGAATTGATCTGATTACGTGTTCTCCTTTCTTTGCCTTTTTTTTTTTTTTTAATTTGTTTTGGCTGGCTACCCATCTCTCCGTTGACTAAATGAACCTCTTAGCCAGTACGTATGCCTCCTCTTTCGGTCAGATCGATTCCATTTGATGATCAAGTGGAAGATTAACATATAGGTTATTAATTATGTGGTGATTAAGTGGGATAGGTACTTAAGAATAAAAATTTCAGAGCTGACGAGTCAAAACTCTCGGCGAGTATTATCTATTCTCTCCCTGTGTAATCAGTGCAGTCATCCATGACTCAACAGCTCAACACCATATCTGTATCATATTTTACCAGGCAGCAATGTCTTTGATTGCTTGAATGGTATATCGTCCTTGAATTATATACATCAATATGGAGGGGAAAACAGCAAAGGAGATTAACGGGTGTGATATTGTACACGAGCTAAACACTTGATATAATGGAAAAGGCCTCGGAGATTTTGTCATCCCGTACGTTTTTCCCATTGGCTTGGCGTTACATTAATTGATCTTCTGCGTTTGTGTCTATTGTTCGGTTTTTAATATTTCACAGAGAGATTTACAAACTTATAAAACAGGAGCCATTATCTTCGCCACAAAGCCAAGAAATGTTCATATATAAATGAACTTGACACAGTCATGTTATGATGACTTTATGAACGCTAAGATGTATAAGCAACGGGTATATTCTTGTACTTTTAAATAGTAACATAGTTGGCTTCGGTGAAAAAAATAACGCGCCCAAATTAAATAACATGCACAACTTGGTATTAATTTTTTTCTTCAGGAAAAGATAAAACGTCCTGAATTTTGGAAGGAAGTGATGATCATGTTACCATAGGCACATGCAATAAATAATGGGAGGTCGGAAAATCTATATCGAATAGAATACTAATAAAGTAGCTAGTAAATGTCCAGTTACTGAGCATGGAACGCGAGTGTTATTTATTTAATACTGTAATACATAAAGAATAGGTAATTATTTAGGTGCATGAATAGATGGAAGGTCCACGGGATATGGCGACGCATGCGGTGGTTGTCAATTTGCACTGTCACTAATTAAGACATCACGAGTCCTGAGGTTTTTTTTCTTTTTGTTATTATTATTATTATCATCAATTATATAAATGTATAAATGTTGCCATCTCATTTTCACACTAACATCCGTTCCCTAAATAAATTAATGGAAGTTAATGACTCAAAGTTTCATTCCAACAAGCCTGGCAGTTGGAAATTGAAACACCGCAAAAGCCGTGTGCCGGTACCCTGACGTTGAAAGTCCCCCCCCCCCTTTTTTTTTAATTTGTCTTTTATTTTGTTAAAATATATTCTTTCAATCTCATTTATAAATCATTTATATCAATCTCATCAATATCAATATAATAAAAATATAAAGAATAAAAATAAATAAAATTTTAAACATAACTTTTAAATTAAAAAAATAAGTTAATCATATAATATTATTTTTTAATCTTTCTCTCTCTTATTTTTTAAGGATAATTTAAAATAAAATAATTCTATCAAAAAATAATTTATAAAACAGGTCAGATTATGTTTTTAAAAAGTGATTAATATATTGAACTAGAAGAGATGTGATAAATTCAAATGTTCTGTTAGTGTAAATTAAAATATTTTAAAAGTATTTTATAGTAGTTAATTACTATGATTCAATTTGCACGCAATTTTTTTATTTTCTTTTTTAAAGAAATAAACCATAACTTTGAAACTTGTCATCAGTATACAGTGGATCAATATAAGAAAAGTTATGTTATAACTTAAATATCCTGTGCTTGGGGCTGGATGCCTCTGCTCTCGGGCACATCTGAGTGCCGCCTAAAATCATTTTATGGCTTTCCCGAATGCTTTCGCTTTTTGTCGGGTCTGGCTTGCATTGATTGAAGACAAGACTTGACATTACTTTCAGGAACAGGGGCTGTTATGATGGGAATATATACATATGTGGCCGTATTATGCTCGAGTTTTACTTTGGAAGCTGTCACCAGAACCCGATTACGACTTGTGAATTGCTTGGATTATGTTCTGCTTACGCACCCCGCGTTCACATTCGCATTCGTGTTGGTAACTCCCGTTCTTTGAATAAAAAATACTCCCTCCGTTAAATTTTTTTTTAAGAAGTTAAATATTTAAACATATAAAATATTTTAAACTTTTTAAAATATAATTATTATCTTTTTTTAAAAAAGTACTCATATTAATGAATAATTTTATATTTATTATAAAATATTTAATAGAGATAAATATAAAAAGATAAAGTTAATTAAAAAATAAATAATTATTTTATTAAAGAGTTAAATTTAATTAAAAATATTTTATATTTTTAAATTGAAAGAATAGTTGTTTTCTAGCGGAGGATGGCTGGAGCTCCAGTTCATTGAGTGACCTTCACCCATCGATCATCGGATGCCGGCTCGTCGATGTTCTTTTTTCTGCTTTGTTTCCGCCACTTGTTTTCTGACTCTGTCGCGTCTTGCTTTTACCCTGTTTTACTTGAATAGTTAATTTTTTTAAAAAAATAACTATTCAAATACAGGTTAAATTTAGCATTATTTTTTAAAAAGATTTATAAGTTTTTATTTTAATGAATAAAATATTAAAATCAAAGATAATCTCCAGGAACTTTCAAAAAAATATTTTTTAAAAAATAATTGTGAGTTAAAAAATTTAAACTCAAACCATACAGGATATATCTGAATGATTAATTTATAAAAGTTCTAAAATATTTTAATATTAAGTTAAACTATTCAAATTAAATATATATTGTCAAAATTTGTATTAAAATAAATTTATTAACATTTTTATAATTTTTATTTTAATAAAAATCAAATAAATCTTTAAATTTTAATTTGGAGAGTTTATATCTCTCGAGCATGATGGACATTGAAACTTCTTGTTGGCCAGGAGAAGGAAATAAAAAAGAAGCGTAACGGTATGAATATTGCATATTAAAACCATCCATTATCGTTCGTTTCATCTAATATCTGCCCATCATCTCCCTTAATGTTTATTGAAAGTTATAGACAAGTGGCTAAAAGTAGCTTGAAATTCGCGAATATTAAATTCTTTACATTATATAAAAATGGTAACCATATAACCAACTTGGCAGGCTTGATCTGCAACGTCCTCTAATCAACTTGAAAACATACAATAAACGAGACCTCGCGTTAAATCAAAACCAAAACTAAAACCCATACACACTGTTAATGTCGATATTAATATTGACATTGATATCAATATTATATTACCAGTGAATCAGAGAGAAATTATAACAAAGTAACAAACTCCACCATTTTATATCTCCACTTTTTTCTTTTTTCGACCTCGATTGCATACCTCCTTCGTGAGATCCACTTGTATATAAAAACAAGACAACACCGCTGTTTTTTTTGTTGTCCCGTTCTATTTAGAGTTATTAATTAGAGTTAGTCTGGCCTTAAAGGATCGGCCCTTGAAGGGTCAGAGTCTAAACATACTAACTCTAATAAGCCCGATTGTATGTTAAAATTTTATTTTATAAGGCCTGACTCTAGCCCCCAAGGTTAAAGGGCCGGCCCTCGGGGCCTCAGCCCTATTTTTTAAAAATTATTTTTTTAATTAAAAATTATAAAAAATATATTTATGATCATAAAAATGTTATTATTCATAAAATTAAGTTTAAGAAAATAAATTTAAATTAATTTACACCACAATAATAAAAAAAACTAAAATATTTAGGTCTAATATCAAATAGCAACATCAAAGTGAATATCAATAAAATTAAACTTAGCTGATATTATCATCTAAATCTTAATAAATAAATGAGGGATGGATAAATGCATTTAATATGTTCATTTCTTTCAGTTATGTATTTAATCTTTTATTTTTTTATATTATAATTTTTTTAAAAATAATAAAAGGTTATAAAAGGGCCGACCCTTTTATTTTCAGGCTTTAAACCCGATTTATTTTTTTAAAGCTAAAATAGAAGCTTGACTCTTAATTTTTTTAGGCCTAAAAGGGCCGGCCCTATGAGCTCGACCCTAATTGATGGCTCTAGTTCTATTTCGTCAGAATAGAATTTTTTCTGTAATTTTGGATGTATTTAATTACTCCCTTTGCCTCCGTTTTTTTTTTTTTCTGGGGTCAATGCATGCACAAAATCATTCAGAAACAGCACAAACTAGAACTAAACAATGCGAAAGAAAAAAAGAGCCCCAAAATTCAAATCTGCAATGAAGTCACCAACTAACAAAAACATCATGTTATTGAGAGAAATGAGAACCGCGAGTTGACAATGCATCACATGCGTGAAGGCTAAATTCACGCCTTCAGGAGAAAAGATGCCAAAAAGGTACTAATAAGAGGATTAATAATAGAGTCGGGAATAAAGGTCAGGCCTGAAGGTTTTATTTAAATAAAAATTAAAATTTAAAAATTAAATTTTTTTAAATTAATCAGGCTTGATGGCCTAGCCCTAATAAGCCTTGTAAAAAATAGCTCGAGTTCAAGCTCAGGCAGCCTTTAAACTCTGTTGTATTATTATTGATTTTTTTCCTTTGGTGGAACACGATTTTGAAGTCAAAAGGGATCTATTCGCTTGAAGCTTTGTTCCTACATGCATTATATTATTATTAATTTTAATTTATTATAAAATTGAATTAATATAATTTAATAAATATCAGTGTACATTATAAAATTTCTAATATTTTTTTCTATAATTACTATATTTGTGTATTTATAAAAATTGAACTGTTTTTTTAACCAATATTTGAAATTTTTTACTAGATTTTTAAATGTATGTTGTTTAATTTTTAAAAGATTATGAAATTTTTTTTAATTTTAAAATATTTTAATTAATTTATAATGCTTAATTTTTTTTTAAATTTTTTTAGAACAGGACTTACAGGCCTAACTCTAAACCATTCAAATAAAGATTAAGTCTTAAAAAAAAGATGAAAAATAAAAAACTGGGCTGGGCCGAGCCTATCCATTTCCCCAACTTAACCAACAATCTTCAACAGGTAGGCTAAAATGCCACAGGCCAGCAATAATTAACCGATATCCTGGAAATATTAGTGTTTCCATAACCCGAGAAAACCAAAAAGATTGATCCAAGGACAAGAAGCAAACAACAACTCCAGAAGAAAGTCCCAGCACGAAATAACGATCATGTGAGGGAAATGGTTGCCATTTGAAAGAAGACACGCAAGTACAAAATGAAACCATATTTGGAAACAAGTAAAACTGGTTCTTCAGGCATAAAGGGGCAATAAAGGCATGCACTGGGATGAGAATGAACAGTTCTCAAAATAAAGGCATAAAGCCTAGAAACAACAACCCAAAATCATTGATTCAGAGACCATGTTTCCTCCAACAACCAAAATTCCAAATACATATCATATCGAGGAAATTTATTAGCAAAGCCGAAAAGAGGGCCCGGATGAAAACAACAACAAACAGGATCAAGCCAAACCATGAGCAACTTAGAACAACAAGGGAGGGCAAGACACTGTCCATCCCATGCAAATCCAGACCAAGAAAGTTCAAAACAAGCAAAAAACTATAAACCAACGTAAGAAAAAGTTGAGAAAAGAGAGAATTTCAATCAAGAACTGCAAAAGAACTTAATTAATGGTAGGTTTCAAAAAATTTCAAAACTTTTGCTCAATCAGGAAAAACAATCAAACTAATTTTAACATTAAAAAATCAAAATACCTTCCACTTATTAATTTACTAGTATTACTAATAAATTATATTCATTTGTCAAATAATCAATAATAAGAGTTATTAATTTGTTAATTTTACTTGTTAATTTATTAATATCAATTGTAAATTACAAGATCTGTAAATAATTTACAATTGATATTAATAAATGAACAAATAAATTAGTAATTTAACAATCAATATTGTTTCTTATGATTGAACAATTGATATTAAATCTTATATAATTATTGACAAGTCAACTAATGTAATTCATAATTTATATTAGTAAATCATCAAGTTAATGAGAAAATTAATAATAAGTGAAGGACATTTTAGTGTTCTCGCTATTGAAATTATTTTGATTTTTCTCTCCTAACTGAAACTGAAATTTTAAATTTTTTTTAGATCCATCAATAATTAAGTTTCTTCTATGATCTTTAATTGAATTTTTCCTTAGAGAAAAGCAATAAAGTTCAAATTAAAAAAAATAAAAAAAGCCCAAAAACAAGGGAAAAAGAAGGGCAAGGGAAATGAAAGGGCCAGAGAAGAGAGAAGAAGCAAAGGAGTAGCAAAACATATGCTTATTAATTTAAAGAGTAAGGTAGTGATGGAAAAACTAAAAAGCCGGTGAAAACAAAGAACAAAGGCAAGGCGATGAACAACAAACAAAAGAGATGATGAAAGGTGAATTAGAAGAAAAGCGATGATGAAAAGCAACAAAATAGAGAGAGAGAGAGAGAGAGAGATCTTGATACCAAAAGGATATTGACAATAGAGGAAATGAACGTGATTAAGGATAAGAGAAGAGTGAACGGCAACAAGTAAAAATGATGAAAGAAAGAGAGGGTCAGTGATAATTAGGATAAGAGAGAAAAGTTATTTGGGAAGAGAGACTGAACTCTCCTTCAATTATCCTCGTTTTAAAATTATCACATGAGTATTCTCAATAAAATTGGGTACAAATAGTGAAATTAATTGGACTGAGTGGTGGGTTTTTTTTTTTTAAATGTCAATCTCACTCTTTTACTCTTACATGTCGTCATGCATTACCTTTCAGCTAAATGATTCCATGTTTACTCAATCAATTTGGAAGCAATTTTGTTTAATTGATCTAACACATTGAATTTTGATATTTGTCCCCAAGTCAAATGAAGATTTTAAATTTTGTATGAATTTGTTTACAAGTCAAATGGAGGCAAGCAAATTTTTTTTTTTTTTCGTTTTAGATTCATAGTACATAAAAAAGAAAGAGAGATAAAGTAGACTTGCAGAGCACTCCGTGCAAACGAGACAAGATACATTAATTTGATAAAAAAAAAACCATAATATGCTTTCATGAAATTCCAAAAATAAAACATGAGATGCATTTCCTGCCCGATATCTTCTCCCTGCTGCCTCTCCGCTCTCGCCATGCTCCATTGTTTTCTTCATTCCCAAGTTATTCCCTCCAAATATCCCTCTCCTTCCAGAAAAAGCATTAACCAACTCGCTCCTTCTTTTCCAATTGTTTTCGTTTTGGTAATTTTAAATCTCCTTCAAAATTCATGCTAAGCAACATTTCAAAAATAAAAATTCCCCTTGCTGAGCGTGTCCCATTGTTGTCCAGTAAAAAAGAAATGAGAAACTCTGACAGGAGGAGAATGATAGAGCATAGAGGAAAACTGGTCACCTTCGAAGTCCGTGCACGTGACACCATTAATCGAAGGAACGAAAGCAACACGAGAAGGAAAAAGGCTCGACCATCTGGGGAACGTGTTGTGGTTTGTGAATCCCCGTTAGCCGAAGAGGCTGCAAGCCAAGGGTCTGAGGCAGGGAAACACGTGTCGCAAGATCCATACTTGTAACAAATATTGATTTTAGGAACAGAAAAAGCAAAAAAAAAAAAAAAAAAAAAAAAGAAAAAAGAGAAGACAAAAAAACGACAAGTTGAGGAGCAGTGGTTAGGCAGAGAGGAGAGGCGGTGGTGAGAGAGACAAAGGCATCGAGAGAGTCGGCGCCCATGGTCCCGCCGACCAATCATAATCAACCTTCTATGTTCTAACCTCAACGCCTCTCTCTTCACTAACCCTTTCATAAACCACTTTTCTTTCATTTCCCTACCTCTTTCTTTTTTTCTCCCATTTTCAGTTCTTCCGTCTGGTTTTTTGCGTATCGGAAGACCCACGGATTCCTTTTTTTAATTAGTATTTAATCACGTCTTGATTTATACATTTCGAGTATTTCTACATCTTTTTTTGGTACAATTATGAGGGCTGCCTCTGAATCCTCTCTGGTTGAGAGGTTAGATGACGGCGAAAAGGAGAAGAAGAAGAAGCGCCGATCCAATCGTCGATCCAAACAAACTTCTGCGTCATCAGGTACGGTTACGCTTCATCTTCGTATTTATTTATTTTTTTATTTATTACCTGATTCGAATTGGAGGGTCTTAGGTACTCTTGCATCTAGCTAGGAGAACAATTTTCTACTTTCTTTAGGTTTAAGCTCTGTTTTTGGTACGGGGCGGATTGAGGCTAGCTGGCGGGGCATGGTTTTGTTTCCGTTTATTTGTTAGAGGATGCGATTCAGCTGAACAAGAACGAAGGGGTTTCTGTTGTTACTTTTCTCCTTGTCACTGTCTACTAGATGTTGCCTTGCTCGGCTCGTTTTGTCAACAAGCGACATTGTCGGTCCTTTGCCTTGCCCGACGAGGCTACGAGGTCATCTCTTCCCGTTAGAAATCTTCTCGTTTCTCCTACGTGGCAATACAGCTACAGCTATATTCTGTTCATAGGCTGTCACTTTCTACGAGGGATGTAAATCCGCATAGACCAAGGAAGCTCTGATTTTCAACTAAAATGTGGGACGATCTTCTCCCTTCCACTGCCTGGACTAAACTGTTTCAGCTTGATATTGATCCAGTTGCTGTTCAATTCTGGTGTCTCTAAATTTTATTGGACCCCTTTCATTGGCAAATTCAGGTCATGCAAAAGCCTTCTATAGTGGGTCAGTGTATATGCTACCTCAGCTTTGGCCTTATAATCGTAAATTGAGTTATGCATTTCTGAAGCAATGCTAAGAAATTTTCACCCTTATGCTGTCTGCTATACCTCTTTTAAGGGCAAAATATTTCTTGCTTTATTATTAATAAAGTCATGAACACAATATGTAACCCGTTTTTTTCCCTCTACCAACTATAAATTTTCCTTTATGATAGTATCTTGCAATTCTGGAAATGAGATACACGAGATACCATCAGAGTTCTCAGGAAACATCAGGGCGCCTACTCATGCCACTGCTTTGTCAAATGACCCTTCATTGAAGCAGCCGGAGATCAAGATTTGTTCCCCTAATGAGCAAGGTCTGTCCAGGACATCAGATGTTTCTTTCACCTTGATGCCACCTATACATTTCAACGGGCATCAAATGGACCCTCTGGATTTTCCAAACATTCAACCTAATGGTGAAGGTGTGTGCTCAAAACCATGTTCAGAGCCAGTTGGCTCTGCAGCAACTTATACAAACAAAGACCTGGTCCAGACTGGGGTTTGTGTGCAGAGAAATTATTATAGTCCTCACTGGTCAATGGAAACTGTGGTGAAGGCTTTAGAGGTTAGTGCAGTTGTGTGTGCATGCGTGCGTGTAACACTGAAAGTTTTAAGTTGTCTCTGTTCTACTGAATAATCTTTGGTGACTTTTTTGTTTGTTTTGCAGAAGGGGGATGTTTTTAAAGCCCTTTTTCGTGTCAATGCTCACAATAGACTTGAGGTTTCTAACTTTCTATAACTCATTTTTTTTGTCATGGGCTAGCTTAACTGTTTATTTAGAATGTTCTATCACTTCTCTCGCATTCTTTTGATGATTGAAGTTCTTTTTCATGCTTGTAGGCATATTGTAAAATTGATGGAGTGCCAACCGATGTTCTCATTAGTGGAATTCCTGCCCAGAATAGAGCTGTAAGCGTGAATTTTACATATTCATGCTTACCTGCTTCTTTGATGTAATGAATTTTACATATAGAGAGCTGTTTAAGATGTCCCTTATAGTGCTTATTTCTGTCATGTTCTTTATTTTGAGGGTGGTTAGTGGATTGGAGTAAAACCCTTTGAGCTTGTTGCTGCTGATTATTGTCATCAGCTATGATGATCTTGTATTTCTATTATAACATGGCTTCTAGATGGACCAATTGTTATCATATCAAGCATATGCTTTATACTTCTGGCTGGATAAAGCATCTGATGATATTGTGTGCAGGTCGATGGTGATGTTGTTGCAGTTAAGATAGATCCTTTGGCTTTGTGGACTAAAATGAAAGGATCAAATGGTACTGGCAATGCTACTGCACCTCTTGAAACTTGTAATCTGGTTAGAGAAGATAATGAAGTGGAGGGGAATATATCTATTGAAAAAGGCAAAGGAGACTCTGATTCTGAGTTTGCTAATAACAGCAACTGCCCTGGTCAAGACAAGGAGGATGTTAATCGTGATCCCAGTACTTGTACAAGTAATCCTTATCCTGAAAAGAAATTGCTAAATAATAGTTATGTTTCTCCTGCTTCAACCAGCCCTTTTGAACCAGTTACTCATGATGGTCATGATGCTGCTTCTGATAACTTAAATATCAGTTCTTATAGTGCAGAAGGTGAAGTTATTAATGCTGTGGAAAACATGCGTTTGTTGGTTAACTCTTTCCCTTCTAAAAGACCAACTGGCAGGGTGGTTGCAATTGTTGAGAGGTCTCCACGCCGAGAGTCCATAATTGGTCATCTCAATGTTAAGCTGGCATTTTCTTTTAGAGACGTGTGCAGAAAAGATGCAAAGAAGAACAAAAAATTGGTTTCTGGCTGTGAGTATATCCAGTTGATGCCAACTGATCCAAAGTTTCCAAAAATGATGCTCCTTGTTAGGGATTTGCCCAACTCCATAAGGAAGAGGCTGCAAACTGGGGATGCTACACTTGAAATGGATCTGGTAGCTGCACAAATGGATAACTGGTCTCAAGAAAGTCCTTGCCCTCAAGCTCGCATCTTGCATATTTTTGGACGAGGTGGTGAAATTCAGCCACAATTAGATGCAATTTTGTTTGATAATAAAATCTCTGTGTCTGAATTTTCACCTGAAGCTTTGTCCTGCCTTCCATTTGTTTCTTGGGAGGTTCCACAGAAAGAATTTCAAAGTAGAATGGATCTTAGAAATTTGTGTATAGTTACCATTGATCCTTCAACTGCCTCTGATCTGGATGATGCATTGTCCATTGAGAAGTTATCTAATGGAAATTTTAGAGTAGGTATCCATATTGCTGATGTTTCGTACTTTGTCTTACCAAACACAACCATAGATAGTGAGGCTCAGTCTAGGTCAACAAGTATTTATATGGTGCAAAGAAAGTTATCAATGTTGCCAGCATCATTTTCGGAGAATATAGGTTCCCTTAATCCTGGAGTGGATCGACTTGCAGTTTCTATGCTCCTGGACATAAACCTTGATGGGGATGTATTAGATCGTTGGATTGGCCGTACTGTGATAAAATCTTGTTGTAAGCTTTCTTATGACCATGCACAGGACATTATTGATGGGGTTATTGATGTTGAAAGTTCAAACACTATAGGAGATCCCTATCCAAAGGTACATGGCCGTTTTGAATGGCCTGATGTTATCGCATCTGTGAAGAATCTATACCAAATTTCAAGAGTTTTGAAAAATAAAAGGTTTAATGATGGGGCTTTACGACTTGAAAGCCCCGAACTTGTTTTCCTGTTTGATGAGGATGGAATTCCTTATGATATTATGCTCTCAGATCGGAAAGAATCTAATTTTCTTGTCGAAGAATTTATGCTCTTGGCTAATAGGACAGCTGCTGAAGTCATTTGCAGAGCATATCCTGGTGGTGCATTACTGCGGAGGCATCCTGAACCTAATTTACGGAAGCTAAGAGAGTTTGAGGCATTTTGTAGCAAACATGGTTTAGAGCTGGACACATCTTCATCTGGTCGGTTCCATTGGTCGTTAGAGAAGATCAGGGAAAATCTCAAGGATGATCCTACACTTTGTGATATTCTTATTTCATATGCTACAAGGCCAATGCAGTTGGCACAATACTTCTGTAGTGGGGATTTAAAAGACAAACAAAATGATTGGGGCCATTATGCTTTGGCCATCTCTGCTTACACTCATGTTACTTCACCTCTGCGTCGGTATCCTGATATTGTTGTTCATCGTATGCTACTTGCTGTTATAGAGGCTGAGGAAATATATCTGGAGCATGAAAAGATGTTGCAGGTTACCAAGGGAGAGGAAGTGCGAGAAAGATATTTCACTGGTATGAACTTTGGTGAGGAAGTTGCTGAATCTGTGGAAGGGAGAAAAGCACTATTAGCTGCTGCTTTGAAGCATGGAGTTCCTTGTGCTGAATTACTTGCGGATGTTGCTGCTTATTGCAATGAGAGAAAGCTAGCTAGTAGAAATGTCAAGGATGCTTGTGATAAGCTTTACATGTGGGTTCTCCTCAAGAAGAAGGAGGTAGGTATTTTTTAAATTCTAATGCACGTTTGAATTAATGCTTGTGATAATTATTTGCTCCAATTTTTGTTGAAATTGAGAAAAATTCTAATGCATGTTTGGTGAGTGCGGCATGAATACATTTCTTGATTAAAGCTTTCTGCCTCTTGTTTTTCTGGTTTTAGATAGTGGCACCTTTAGTATCCATCCCTTGGGGGGGGGATTCACACTTTTCTATTTTATGCTTTGAAAGATTAAATAGGCGTGGTTTTCATTTATCATTAAATTTTGTTTCTGAAGTCCAAGTATTGTGAAAATGGACGTTCTAACCAAGCAGGTTTTATTATTAATGTGTCATAACTTGTGACATCATTAATGTATGTTTTAAAATAGCATGGCTTTCAGATATCATGCCTACTACTGTCCAATCAGCACCTCCCTTAGTTTGTGTCGCTTGACTCACTTCTGTTTTGGTTCATACTATTTCTTGTACTGACTGATGCAGTTATTTTTTTTTTTTGTTGTTCTTACCTTGTTTTGTACCAACGGCACATTCTTGAATATTTTCCTCTGCGCCCCAAATTGGCTCATCTTCGTTTCTGCAGGTGTTATTGTCAGAAGCAAGAATATTGGGATTAGGCCCAAGGTTCATGTCAATTTATGTTCAAAAACTAGCTGTAAGTGATTTTGCTTTTCTAACCATATGCATTTCTAGGTTTATGGTTATTAGTAGTAGTGGGGTCAAGGTATATTTAGACAAAATTTCTTTTGAAGTGGATAGGCTTTGTGGATCCTCCCAAGTTGGTGACAAAGGGTCGTGGAGGATGGCATATGATGGCATTTGGTTTTTTAACATTAAAATGTGGATTGCTGAGTGAGTAGGGTTTAGACGTTCTATGAAGGGAAGTAAAGTATCCAAGTGCTTTTAGAATAAATATTTGAGTCATCACAAAAATGTTGACTTTGTTCAGGCATATATTCAACTATTAAGGACATACACTAAATAATACAACATGAATTAATGAATTTATTGTTTAATTTAAATCACAAGAAATATGCATTAGATTGAGAACATAGAGTGCTCATTGTTTTAACTCTTGACAATGAACATTCATAGATTTTTGGGTTAAGGTGCATTTTTGCATTTGAACTATTCTTCAAGGAGCACAGTGTCCTAAACTGTTTGTTATAGCAATTTTGCCCCTAAAGTAATTTACACGTAGCATATTTGCCCTTAACGTTAAATACATCAACGTTGATTGTTTAAAAATGCTGACTAAGACTTAAATTTGATCGGAAATGCCACCTATCATATTGAGTGGATGCAAGTTAAAGTGCATTTTTGCTCTTAAACTATTCTCTGAGGAGCTCTCAGTGTTCTAAGTTATTTGCATCATGACAATTGTCAAGAAACTAATTAAAATGCAATAAAAATGCGCCTTAACTTGGATTCACTTGACATGATGGATAACAGTTTCAGTCAAATTTGAGTCTTAGTCAACATTTTTAATGGTCAATGTTGGAATATTTAATGTTGGGGGCAAATATGCAAAGTTTTAATTGTTTTAGGTGTGAAATTGCCACGACAAATAGTTTCCAGCATTAGGTGCTTCTCGGAAAATGGTCCAGGATAAATGCACCTTAATCCTAGATTTTTTCTCACAAGTTCTCTCATGATCTATATAAATCGATGCAATCTAGTGCATTTTTTTGTCACATGCTTATTTTAACAAACTCTCTTTTTGATTCTGTGCACTTTTCATATTCAGATCGAGCGGCGCGTATATTATGATGAAGTTCCAGGCTTGACTGTCGAATGGTTGGATGCGACCTCTACTTTGGTACTTAGCATGTGTACTGATAAACGTGCATTTCGGAGAGGCAGCCCTGGTAAATGGAGGGCATTTGAAGAAGTTGTCTTACTTGCTTGTCCATGTAACCTGAAAGACTCCAACGATGGTATTAATGAGAGTGACGCAGTGAAAATGGGAGATATGGATCTTAGTTCTAGATCGGACAGTTCAGGTACTGAAATTGATCCTGCAGTTTTCCCCCTCACTCTGCGTGTTCTTGCGACAGTTCCAGTAGCACTGCATGCCGTCGGTGGGGATGATGGACCCCTTGACATTGGGGTGAGGCTGTACATGAGTTCCTACTTAAGGTAAGTTGGAAGTCTTGAGGAGGACCCTGAAAGAATGCAGAGACGAGGAGGCAGGGATCTTAAACATGGATGGTTGGGATCGGGCGGACTAGTTGCAGAACAGTGTAGATAAGTAGTATATGGTTTGGCACTAGAAGGGGGAAATATGTGGTGGAGTCAATGAACATGCTTAATGGATGATTTGGGAGGCGTAAATATAGATGGGGATTTTGTTGGTAGCTTCTCTGTTGTTAACAGAAGCTGCTTGTTGGAATAGGCCCTTGTTTTTGTTGGCCTTTTCCATCTACTACTGCTGCCGCTACTAGTATTAGGCTAATTCACGTTTGCTCATTTTCGGTTCTCCGATGCAGAGGCTGAGAGCCGAAATTCTTCTTTCGTTTGACTGCGGCCCAATGCTTTTTTTGATTTTGGGTGGCTACCTCTTGTATCTGTAATTTCATCTTTCGGACATCTTTGTATTTTTTGTTCATATTTTTTACTCCTCCCTACATCTGGCTCCGGGCTTTTTACTTGCTCTGTTAATATGGGGAAACCGGAAAAGCCGGCGGGTCTTCATCGTTGAGGCTCCATTTTTAATTACTAATCATTTTTAAGTAATTTGCACGGCATTAAAATTATCTAATATTCTTCAAAATTCTATTATATTTTTGAAAGTACATTTAATTAAATGAAATAAATTTTGGACAATCTTTTTCGTTTCTTTCAACATCTTTCTCCATTATAATTAATTATGAAGTTAGAAGCCCTAAACCTTAAAATGGCTTAAGAATCTTGTCCTAGTGGACCACTCCTCAAGTACCTTCGATCTCTTCTGGTTTCCCTGTAGTCTTTGAATCAAAATTGCTATTATAAAATCAGATTTTGTGCCATAGGTACGTGTAACATTTGTCAGGTAGATGATACGGATAAAGCTTTCTTAATTTTGTCCCTCCAATTGGGCCCGGACGGATCAATATAATTTCACACTTGATTCAAGGCAGTAATCAAAACATAATGGGTTCATTAGCTTTTTCTAACCATCTTCAAACTTAAGTACTATTAAATTTTCTTAATTTACTCATATTAACTCAATTAAGAATTAAACTTTTAGGATATTACATTTGGCACGTTGGTGAATTTGGTCAGAGGGAGAAGGTTGTTATAAATGAGCTATTTTGTGATACAGATAAGTTGTTTGGCCAGAATGCTTTGCTTGAAAGAGGAAATGATGGTTAGAGTTTCCTTTGTCACATATGCCCTACTTTCTCTACTTTCATGGGTCTTGCCCATTGGTGCTTTCCCTTTTTACTTCGCCATAGTGTAACAAAAATCAATTTTGAACCCTAAGTGACCAAACCTTGCGATTTTGGTTTTTGAATGTCACTAAGACCACACCTTGTGATCTTGGGATGCCACGCAACGAAAATATCCATTTGCCTTCTAGAGGGAATTTATGACTACGCAAGTTTTAGCCATCACATCATCCATGTTATGTTATGTATTCTACATCAATTCGAATTGATCAACTGTTTACTTAAGTGTTACTTTAACGATCAACGTTGGTAATATTTTATAGTTTGAATATTCTTGCACTTACTAAAATAATTTTATAGGTAATCTTGTACATTTCTTCATTTAAGGATATTAGGTGTTTTAGAAGAAAAGTTTGTTGATATTTTTGCCCTTTTGTCTTATTATTAATAATACTCATTCTAAAAGCATTCCTAGAAAAATTAGTTTCATAAATTATATAAACTACTAAAATAAAAACAAGGACTTTGACTTATACTCACTTTGATCCCTATTATAAGACATATTTTAGAAGCATTTTTTGATCTTAATTGTATTTTTTTGCCCTTATTTAACTCATTAACTATGAAAAAAATATAAAATAAATTTAAATTTATTTATTTAAATAAGAATAAAATTAGAAGTATATTATATTATCAAATAAAGTCCTGTGTAAGAATAGACATAGTAATAGTTACTAATTTCTTAACGCCAATCAAACTTCTTTCTTTTTACTCATTTAATTATATGCAACCACCAGGTTATAAATAACCCAACTTAGCACTCTGGAAGAACATGAAGATGGAATGTCCTTTCCAATAATGATTGGTAGTTTTTTGTCGCTTATTTGGCCTCCGCCCCTCCTTGCAGCACATAAAGAACTGATGATGAAGCATCAATTTGTATGGATGAAATTCGACAACTCTTGGCAAGTTAGCAAGTTCGTATAGCTACTAGCTAGTGTTGGTCGACTCTCCATGCAAATGGAGAAAAAAACTAGTAATGTTAATTATGCGGACAAACAATTTTTTTATATGCGTTAGGAATATACATAGAGATAATTTTTTTTTCTCGGAATACTAAGACAAAATGTAACTAAAAATTGTTCTATACATGTACAAGGGTTAGAAACAAATTATTTAGTCACCGTACCAGGTCGAATTTTTTTTTTTAGTTGATATGTTTTTGTTTTTCAGTTTATTGGCTGTCTCCACGTTTAAAAATATCATTTAAAGAAAAAAAAACAACATTGCAGTTCAAAACTTCAAATTAGCATCTCCCACAAAATAACACGGTAAATAATGTTTTTCTTTTTTATGGAAACAAATATTTTGCTTGAGATATCGATCGAATTAAACTGTACGCAAAAGTTAGAACTTGGAGTGAGAAAATTCAGATATGAGGGGAACTGGAGGACCGTTGTTATGCATCGGAGATCTCCTGAGCGATGTGGGTGAGGAAGAAGACGTGGTTTCAGCTCCCTCTCCCTCATCGTCTTTCCCTTCGGTTTCTGTTTCGGATTCAAGCCTCGCTCCTGATCTCCCCAAACTCTTCCAGGTTGCCGGGTTTGATTTTGTGGTTTAGTTTGAATTATTTGTGCTCCATCTGTTCCCGATTCAGATCTCTATTTCGACATGGAATTGAAATTTAGCCGAGTTTTTTCGCCGAAACCATAAAACCAAGATAACAGTGCAGATAATTTTGAGCACTCCTAATCTTTTTATTCTCAAGAAATTATAGGGTTTTGATATTTACACGAAGAAACCTTTTTCTTCCCGTTTAGTTACTAGCTCCCCTCTCTATCAATAATCGAAATTCGCCTGCTTATTTCAGGAAAACTACGAGCATTTGAATAAGGCACTTGCTGGCACAGACCATTCTTGGACGGCTTTGACATTGAAGGTAATTACAGTTTATCGCTGTATCTGAAGAAGTCATCACATTATAGGTGAAGCCAACATCAATTGCGAAAAGCTGAAGTATCATTTCAAATCATTTATCGATTGTCCATTCTTGTCATCGGGCATTTTTTTACATTTCTTGCTTTAATGTACCAATTATCTTTCCCCACAATTCAATATTCATCTGTCCCCTATCTTTAGTTTATTTATGATGTCTCTTCAATTTTTTTTTTTTTTGGGACAATCCAGCTATGCACTGCCCTTGAAACTGCGAACGAGCTGCTTCAGTCTACCAACTCAAATGTTGGATTGTTGTCAGAGAAGGTTGGGGAACTTCAGAAAGTTGTCAAGAGAGCGGATTCTGCCATTGCAGCTGCAAAGGCTGTCCATGTTAATCTAGATGACGAGAAAGGTGCCATTATTGGCCATGCAAAATTCAAGTAAATTCAGCTCTTATTGCGAGATTAGTTCAGGAAAAACTTCACATGATATTTTACTACTTGACAATACAATTGTATCATTGTTATTTAAGAGCCAGAGATCCGATGGGAAGACATGAAAAATGGTTGAGTAGATCACTGCGACTTCTATCATGTTAAGGGGTCTTTTTTGACTTGCTATGCTGTTGCTTGTTTACATTTCTTTTTCTTCCTGGCATCCAGCATACTGGTAACATAGCCCAAAATTGGAATCATTTGTCAATTGGAAGAGTAGTTTTGAAGCGTGCCAGTGCTTATACGATCTCTCTTCCTAAACTTAAATCATACACAATTGTGAGAAGTGGCTATATCTGCTAGCTTCGTGTTTTCTTTTCTTTTCCTTTTCCTTTTCCTTTTAAATTACAAGGCAAGTCAAAAGACTGGAAAAGAAAAAATGAAACTCCTAACTATTTTGGTCAGCTAAATATAGCTCCATACAATTCAAGGGTGGTGTGCTCAGCAGGAGGAAATCCTCCATATTGTTATAGGCTTTCGTATTCAAAATATCAGCCACTCAATTGTATTCCCTGCTAGAATAATGAAGCTGAGCGTCCCTAACTTCGTGTTTTCGGTATTTGAACCGGGAACACCGAATTATGTGAGAAATCTCTTAAATAGGGCGTTATTCTGTTACGCAGTGAATATATATGTGGGCATATTAGCCACGTAAAGCCACTTCAGTGGTCACGTGATGTCCAATGGAGGCTTATAGTTCTGAATTCAAAACTGGACAAATTTGATTGTTGATGTCTCCCAAGATAAATATGTGGTGTGTTGCTCTTGCTTCTTATGGGGACTGTGAGGACTGAAAATGTCGATACATGAATCGGTAACCGGGGTTCATTTAAGACATGGTCCGGCTCGATAAGTTGTTATATCAGCAACTGAGCACTTCGTAGGGAAGAATTCTTGTCAGCATATACTTCAGAAACTGGCCTTGAACTGACAAGAAAGCTAGATAGTTTGAGAGTTGAGGCAAACATTTAGGCCAGGAGCGTACTGACCATTTTGTGCTATAACATCCGACTGTTGAGGGGGTCCCAACAAACATGCACGCTCCCAAAGATAAATAGATATGGCGTTGTGTGTTGTCTGTTGGGCATGCATAATCTGATGGCCTGGCTCCTGAGAGATGTTGGGTTGCGCTCAGAAACAGTGGAAACTCGGTCAAATAATTTGGGGCATTCAAGCTCCCATGTTGGATGCTTCTCGCACTGTATTGCTGAGGTCTGGGATCATCGTCCCGGTACCTGTATGCCCCGAACTTTTCAAATCTGTGGCAGTGGATATCATGATCCACCGATCAATCATTAACTTATTGCCCAACATCTGTTCATCAAAATTGTATATTCTCAAATTGGACTCCATTCTGAGGGGGTGACCATGCATTTTGGCCCAAACATTTTAATATAACTTCTAAGCGTAAATTTATGTTTATAATAATTAAATTATATATTTCAATATGATATTTAGATTATGGACGGAATGAATAAATTAAATTTTCATCCACGTAATATCGAGTTGACAAACAACGTAAAGAAAAAAAAAGGAGGAAATGAAAGGAAATAAATAAAGCCTTACATAAAGGAAGAAACATAAAAAGAGTATGACTCTGCAATTTAGATTTGAACCTATGTGAAGAGAACTAGATTGAATGGACCATTTTGACCAGTTGAATCAATAATCAGTCGATTCAAAGTAAAGAGAAAATTGAGGAGGAAAAAAAAATCTACCTGGAACTGGTAAAAATTGACAAAATTGATGTCATTTTTTATTTTTATTCTTTCATTTTTAAGTTATGATTTCAATTTAGTGTTTGATTCCATGATCAATTTGGTTTACTTCATGTCAATTCCAATAACATATCACATATTGATGATTGATACAACAACTCAACAAATATTTTGTCACCAAAACTGTCCTCCTTGCTAGAGCGTGCGCGTGCACCGCAGGCACGTGCGTGTGCATGTGCTATGTGCCATCAAGCTTTTTTTTTTTTTTTTTAGTAAAAAGACACAATCAAGACTGTACAAGAGTTACAAAAGGTTGGACATATCAAAGTCCAATATATTCTTACATCTTATAAGTAATTCATTATAGATAAAAAGGTCATAGTACGATCGAACTTTTTTAACATGGAGTCACTCCATTTACTTATAATTTATCTCAATATAAAGTTATCTAAGAATTGATGAAATAGGTGGGTGGGGTGGTTGTAATTGAAATCTTTAATATGGAATCACTTTGTCTATTTGGGTATAAAGTTATGTAAGAGTTAACAAAGAGGTAGGATAATTAATTATTTAGTTTTTATAGTTTTAATTCAATTAAAATTTAGTTTCTAAACTTTATTCTTGTAACTTAATTCAAATAGTTTTAATCATTTAAATATTGATCCCTATATTTTAAAAAAATAAAATTATAAAGATTAAAATTATGTTAAAATTTTAACCTTTATAAAGATTAAAAGGGTTTAATAATTTAAAATATTAGCTCTAAATTTTAGCATAATTTTAATTTTTATAATTATATTTTTTAAAATATAGGAGCCAATATTTTAAATGATTAAAACTATGAGGATTGAACTGTAAGAATTAAAGTTTAAAAACTAAATTACAAGTAAGTCAAAGCTTCAAAATCAAGATCGAACAATTTAAAATTTAAGGATTGAGTTATAATTGAGTTAAAATTATAAAAATTAAATTATTAGTTTTTCCAAAATTATTTTACAGATAATTAATATAAGTTGTTGCGAGTAACATAAGGGGTTTCATCCTTTAAATAGATATATAGTTAGATGCTTAGTTCCCAAATTATTGTATATGAAATAAATCTAATTAAAAAGGAGTTCACTCTTATGCCTATTACCATGAGGCCTGTTAATTTCAATCATCGGTGAGCGTGACCCCACTGTATTTGTATGATTTAGAATACATGATTTAATTAGATTAGAGATGCTTTTCTGATTTGGAAAAGAGTCAATATTTATAATTAACTCAAATAAAATCCGTTGGCCAAAAAAAAAAATCAAATAAAATTCACAAAGTGTAAGAATGTAGAACAGTTTAAAAAAACTCTATGCAACATATTAAATATTATTATTGTCGTATTTGGCAAGGTTTAATATTAGGGGATTTTCCAAAATAGAAACTACATTGAAGTTCTATTAACCCTTCGATCATAAATAAATCTGATGACAACATGACCCAAAGTAACTCTTGACCAAAAGTCGAAAGATGACTGCTATCAGCTTAGCCAATCCTCCGTCCCACAAAACGGGAAGAAGACAACAGGTAATTACAAGCCTCCATTTGCATAATTTCCATATAGTATCAGCGTGAACGATGAACTTAAATAAAACCTGTATGATGCTTTAAAAGCTACAAAGCTACAAATGATGGGATAATGAACAATTCTTTCTTGTTGGATGCAAATTAAATATATTCCTGGATTCCCTCTCATCAAGCAAGACAAATAAGTAACTCTCTTCAAGCCCTTTAATTAACCCAAGGATGATGCAGTTGAATCAATGAGACACGTCATTAGACTTCATTTTTAACTTTTCCGATTCGACCATTAACTCATCTCTGCCAAAACTATTGATGATAAGTATAGATGGACAATGTTTTAGTATTAACATGGAAATAAATCATAGGAAAGTGGCATCTGATTTTTTTCCTGTTTGCTTTGGTGGTGAAGGTCTAAATTGTTTTCCTATTTCTTACATTGGCTGAGTATGGGCACCATATTTCTTATTCCTTATTAATATGTATATACATAATTAGAACTAGAATTAGGCTGTGGCTGTTAAGGAATGGTTTGTGTCTTGAAATTCATGTGCAGCTTAATCTGTCACCTTGACTTGTTGACTTATTTCTTATTTTAGGAAGACACTTTTTATTTCATCATTTAATGAAAGCTAGTTTTAGTCCTGTGATAATACACGTTTAGTTGATTATTTGCTTGCATGTGTGCGTTCCTACTAGCTTCTTGATTTTTCTTTTTAAATATATTTGTAATCTTACTATGGCTAAACAACGGGAAAAAAGAGTACAGTTTCCATTACTTTTCCAAATTTTCTACTTCATTTTTGAAAATCTTGAGTTGAAGGATTATTTCCCAAGTTGAGTTTATTGGATTCTCATCTCCATAACAGCCTAACAGGTTCAAAGCTGCTTCCTCCATTAAAGAACCAACCTAATCAATGGACGGAATTAGGGTTCGACTTTAATTTGCTCCTTAAACTTTAAGATATTGAAATCGAGTTCAATAACGTGTCTATAGAAATTAAATGTGAAATGTTTAAGTACGTGTGTAGTTTTCAATAATTTAAATATATTTTTTAAGGTTACTCAATTGATCTTGACTAATGGCGGAGCTAGGATCTTGAGTTAGAGGAGGCAAAGCTAAGACTTTAACACAAGAAAAACATTTTTGTCTTTTTAAAATTTATTAATTTTTTTTCTTTTTATCTTTGTCTTTGTTTTTAAATTCAACTTTCAATAATAGATTTGTAAGTGTAGCAAGTTAATGAAATGCATTCAACAAGTTTACTCTTAATTCTTAAATCTTCATTCTTTGTTTTTTTTTCTAATTAGTATTTTCAAGATGAGGATGATGTGGGTCTAGTTTAATCAAATTAATTTTTTTATTTTATTTTTTTGAAGGATTAATAAATAATATTAGCATTTAGTTATAGTGAAATTATGAGTTTTTATCCACTAGGCTAAGTTAAAAAATTAAATTTTAAATTTGGGCTAAATGTAACATTAAAATGGGTTCAAAATTTAAAACATTAAAATAAAGGGTACAAAGTATAAAAAAAGGGAACAAATTGTAAAATATAAAAACATATACCTCCATATATGCTATTTTTCTCAAGTATGGGGGGCATATGTCCCCCCTCAAGAGCACGTGGCTCCGCCACTGATCCTGACCACGACCACAGTTAATGCAAGCCGCTTTACACCCTAATAACTTTATAATGATCTCCAAAATCAGCATTACAAACGATTTCAGAATTCCGTTTCCGTATAAAAAGTACCACTAAAAGTGGAATGTGATCATACATACATACATATACATATATATATATATATATTATTACTCTCTTCGCTCCACCATTTTATAAAAT